CAAAACAGGCGGAGAACATACAAACTCCACACTCACCCACCCACCAACTCACTCACACCCTGCAGAACAGGGTTAGAACATACAAACTCCACACTCACCCACACTCCCACCCTGCAGAACAGAGTTAGAATATACAAACTCCACACTCACACCCTGCAGAACAGGGTTAGAACATACAAACTCCACACTCACACCCTGCAGAACAGGGTTAGAACATACAAACTCCACACTCACACCCTGCAGAACAGGGTTAGAATATGCAAACTCCACACTCATCCACACTAACACCCTGCAGAACAGGGTTAGAACATACAAACTCCACACTCACACCCTGCAGAACAGGGTTAGAACATACAAACTCCACACTCACACCCTGCAGAACAGGGTTAGAGCATACAAACTCCACACTCACACCCTGCAGAACAGGGTTAGAACACACAAACGCCACACTCACCCACACCCTGCAGAACAGGGGGAGAACATACAAACTCCACACTTCCACCCTGCAGAACATGGTCAGAACATTCAAACTCCAGACATAAAGGGTCGGGGTTGGAGCTGAGGAACTTCTTGCTGGGAGGCAACTAATGCGCAGCCCTCCTGCCCCCCTAATTAGCATAATCATAATTAATTAATATAATGTAGAACTAACCCCCCCCCCTCCAAAATCAAATTTAACCCGCGTATCACGTGTGACCAATTGGCCTAATTGCCTCTCGCTCTCAAGCCCACTCTGCCGATTTGTCATGCGCCGCGCTAATTGATTTCCCACGTGGGTGTCCGATTGCAGATCGCGGATCGCTCCCAACTATTTTCCGCTCCACTCTCGCGCCTGTCGATGATGGCAGCAGTGGAAGTCCCCGCGGCTCGATGAGCAATGTGGAGGGGTTATCCTCTCCCCGATGCTGCTGCTGCTGCCCGCCACGATAAGATGGCAGCTGCAGCAGCAGTAGCAGCGGCATAGGATTGTGTGTTCCCCCCCTGTTCAGCAGAGAGAGTGGGTGGATGTATGGAGTTTGTGTATTCTCCCTCTGTTCAGCAGAGAGAGTGGGTGGATGTATGGAGTTTGTTTTCTCTACCCTTGCTCTGCAGAGACTGAGTGTGTGGAGTTTGTGTGTTCTCCCTCTGTTCAGCAAGGAATGAGTGAGTGTGTGTGGAGTTTGTGTGTTCTCCCTCTGTTCAGCGGAGAGTGAGTGAGTGTGTGTGTGTGGAGTTTGTGTGTTCTCCCTCTGTTCAGCAGAGAGTGAGTGAGTGTGTGTGTGGAGTTTGTGTGTTCTCCCTCTGTTATGTAGAGTGTGAGTGAGTGGGTGAGTGGAGTTTGTGTGTTCTCCCTCTGTTCAGCAGAGAGTGAGTGAGTGTGTGTGGAGTTTGTGTGTTCTCCCTCTGTTATGTAGAAAGTGAGTGAGTGTGTGTGTGGAGTTTGTGTGTTCTCCCCCTGTTATATAGAGTGTGAGTGAGTGTGTGGAGTTTGTGTGTTCTCCCTCTGTTCAGCAGAGAGTGAGTGAGTGAGTGTGTGGAGTTTGTGTGTTCTCCTTCTGTTATGTCGAGTGTGAGTGAGTGGGTGAGTGGAGTTTGTGTGTTCTCCCTCTGTTATGTAGAGTGTGAGTGAGTGGGTGAGTGGAGTTTGTGTGTTCTCCCTGTGTTATGTAGAGTGTGAATAAGTGGGTGTGTGGAGTTTGTGTGTTCTCCCCCTGTTTAGCAGAGAGAGTGAGTGTGTGGAGTTTGTGTGTTCTCCCTCTGTTCGGTAGAGAGTGAGTGAGTGTGTGTGTGTGGAGTTTGTGTGTTCTCCCCCTGTTATATAGAGTGTGAGTGAGTGTGTGTGTGGAGTTTGTGTGTTCTCCCTCTGTTCAGCAGAGAGTGAGTGAGTGTGTGTGTGGAGTTTGTGCGTTCTCCTCCTGTTCAGCAGAGAGTGAGTGGGTGAGTGGAGTTTGTGTGTTCTCCCTCTGTTCACCGGTGTGAGTGATTGAGTGGAGTTTGTGTGTTCTCCCTCTGTTATGTAGTGTGAGTTGGTGTGTGGAGTTTGTGTTCTCCTTCTGTTCACCGGTGTGAGTGATTGAGTGGAGTTTGTGTGTTCTCCCTCTGTTCAGCAGAGAGTGAGTGAGTGTGTGGAGTTTGTGTGTTCTCCCTCTCTTCAGCAGAGAGTGAGTGAGTGTGTGGAGTTTGTGTGTTCTCCCTCTGTTCAGCAGAGAGTGAGTGAGTGTGTGGAGTTTGTGTGTTCTCCCTCTGTTCAGCAGAGAGTGAATGTTTGGAATTTGTGTGCTCTTCCCCTGTTCAGAAGTTAATTCTTTGTTGAAGGCGCATAGACTACAGTGGGTTCACGATATGGTTCCATAGTTTTGAGTTGTATGCCCACAATGGCACTCCTGTGACTTGTATTTAATGTGCATCTCCACTCACTCATTCATCTCCGCAGCGACGGAGCGTTGCGTTTAGCGCGTCGCCTCTTGCGATTGCATTCGCATCATGAACTGCTCTTGTTGGCCATATCCCAGCGTCTCGAGTGATTTGTTTAAATCATGGGATGAATGATAATCGGTTTTTTTTCCCCTTTCTGGCAATGAAACATTTGTGTTCAGATGTTAAAACACCAAACGGAGCACCTTTGCAAGGAATCATGTCTGCACTAATCACTTATACTTGTGGTGAACATGCAAAACAAATAACATGCTCTGGTAGTATATGACGCATTGTCATTGAAGCTGTATGGTCCACACCAGAGACGGCTTTACCTAGACCCTAGTCTCACTAACAGCGTTAGACCCGAGTTCGCCAAAAGGCGAACAGCACAAAGGCAATGCCACCATGAGGACATTGAGAGCTCGGGGTGGGCAGCTACATAATGGTACCTCCCTTGGCAGTATTAAATAACGTGTGTCTCTTTGTAGAGTGTATCTCTACTGGGCTCGATGAGCCTGTGGCTTGACGAAATGGGCCATGGTTTGGGTTGCGAGGCTACAGTCGCACTCGCTGTGGCTCGCGTCTTCCCATTTGCCATTCGTGAAGGAGATGCGTGGCATCGCAACTGCAACAAAGACAAAGTTCCCCCGTATAGCCTGTAACAAAACTGTTGGGACAAGTGCTGTTAGCGAGCACCTACGAAGGCCCGGCACGGCACACGAGGGGGTTGGGTGGCCAACACCACGCCCGGCCGCCTTTGTCTCCCGAATGACCATGTTTTACACACCGCACCAGGTACCCATTTCGGGCTGAGTTGATCTAGGGGAGACCCAGGACCGGTTCACACAATCGTCGCTGGTGCCTCGCCATGAGCGGGAATCGAACTCGGGTGGCCGGGTTCGTTGAGCAGCGCGCATTGCGTGAAACGTCGCTTATTATAGCTCATGGACAACGCCGCTAAAAATATTTCGCTCTGCACGCTGTGTTTCATCGTCGTCGTCGTTGAGTCAAGATTTGCGTTCAACTCGGATTCATGTCTAGGCGGAGAGGCAGGCCCCCTTGCCGCTACACATGGGACGGTTCTCGCCGGCACTGATTCAAGCGAAGTGTCACGTTTTAATGTTGATTCGAAGCTTTCGTGACTGCAGGGATCTGTGCTCTTTGGTGCTTTCGGTAAAGTCACGTAGTGGGTAGAAATAAAATGAAATAAATCAAATCACGACGTTTCGATCGCAACGCAAGCGATCCTCATCAGATAGCAGCGTTAATTGAAGCTCTGTCGTCCCAGACAGTTCGGTTCTTTCACCCGAAGAAGGCTGCTTGTGTTGTGGCCGAAACGTCGTGAGAATTTGATCGCGTTATTTTATTATTTTATTCTCATTCTACGTGACTTAACCGAAAGAACGAAAGAAGAGGATTGCTTGTGTTGCGATCAAGACGCCGTGATTTGTTTAATTTTATTTCTACCTACGTAACTTTTCCGAAATAACAAAAAAAGTGTCTGCTTGTTATATACTTATTATGTATTTTTTTGGTTTTTAATGCCACGCACGGTGTTACTGACGAGTGGATCCGTTGTCATTCTCGACAAATGTTCGTAGCCTGTGGGTCTCTCTGAGTTCGTGAGTCTCCGAGTGAGTCGATGGGTCTCTGTGCGAGTCTGTGGCTAAAATAAACAAACAACGACAACAACATATCCTTGAATCTCGATTTAAAGCTTTCGTGACTGCAAGGATTCATCTTCTTTGGTTCTTTCGGTAAGGTCACGTAGAATGAGAGCTTCATTGAAGCTCTGTCGTCCCGACAGGTCTGTACCTTTCACCTGAAGACGGCCGCTTGCATTGTGGCCGAAACGTCGTGAGAATTTTATCGTGTTATTTTATTATTTTATTCTCATTCTACGTGACCTTACCGAAAGAATCAAAGAAGATGAACATATTCTTGGTTCTTTCGGTAAACTCGCGTAGAAAGGAAGTAATAAATAATACAAATAAAACAATACAATTCTCACGAACGTTTCGATTGCAACGCAAGCAATCATCATCAGGTGTGAAAACCACAGGAATAATGTTTTTGCTGTGTTTTTTCTCACGCCTGATGATGGTTGCTTGCGTTGCAATCGAAACGTCGTGATAATTTTATTGTTTTATTTTTTATTATTTTTTTATTTCCCTTCTACGTGACTTTACCGAAAGAACCAAGAATATGAATCCCTGCAGTCACGAAAGCTTTAAATCGAAACGAGAACAACAACAATGACGGCTGTGTGTGTGGGCCTGGGTGGTGCGTGCAGGTGGGGGGAGCGGTGGCGCAGCGGTTAGCGCACCGCGCCGCTGAATTCGAATCTGGCTCACGGCCAACGCCGGTGACGATTATCTGAACCGGTTCTGAGCCTCCCCTAGGTCGACTCGGCCTCAAATGAGTACCTGGTGCGGTGTTTAAACATCACCACTGGGAAGACAAAGGCGGCCGGGCGCGTTGTTGGCAACACCACCCCCTCGTGTGCCGCTTTGCCGGCCTGAAAAGGACCTACTCGCTAACAGCACTTGGCCCAGCAGTCCGTTAAGGCTACACGGGGGTATCTTTGTCTTTGGTCCATGCAGATACGACATCATGCACCTGCAGAACCTGAGCCACGACGACTACGACTACATCAACGTGGGCAGCTGGGAGAGCGGGGAGCTGCGCATGGACGACCACATGATGTGGACCAACCACAGCAAACTCGTGCGCTCCGTGTGCAGCGAGCCATGTGGCATCGGCCACATCCGAGTGAGGCTCCCCCACTCACGTGGTCACACGATACTAACCCCACCCACAGGGTCACACGATAACCCCACCCACAGGGTCACACGGTACCAACCACACCCACAGGGTCACACAATATCAACCCCACCCACAGGGTCACACGACACCAACCCCACCCACAGGGTCACACGACACCAACCTCACCCACAGGGTCACACGATACTAACCCCACCCACAGGGTCACACGACACCAACCCCACCTAGAGGACCACACGATACCAACCCCACCCACAGGGTCACACGACACCAACCCCACCCACAGGACCACACGACACCAACCCCACCCACAGGGTCACACGACACCATCCCCACTCACATGACCACACGACACCAACCCCACTCACAAGACCACACGATACCAACCCCAACTCACCTTGCTCTGGATACAGTCGAGAGGCGTTGTACGCAGCACGGTTTGGTGGCTGCGTGCGGTGATGCGGCGTTCAGCACGCTGCGTAATGACCCCGTTGACCCGAGTTCCATTCACTCTCACCGCAAAATCACCTTCACCGTATGTAGTACGGCACTGCTGCTGCCTCCTCTTCCACCTCCTCCGTCCTTCCCCCTCCTCCACCTCCTCTTCGTCCGCAGTATTTGTGAGGAGAGGCATCGAGATGTCCATACGTTCCGTGCTTCGACTGGAGCGTTTTTGTTTTCATGTTACCAGGCTACGGCCCAGAAGCGACCTTGACCATACATGATGACCTCAGCGATGTGGCTTGTCATCGCGTGGACATTTATAGCAGCCAAATACTATTTTAAAAAACGCACGTTGATTCTGAATGTGGAGGGAAAAATCGGAGGAGCGGGAGAAACATCCACGCCACCACGGTGAGAGAGAGCAACACTCCAAATATACAGCAGCAGGCGTCAGGTTCTGGCTCGAACCCACGACCTCCTGCATACCAGACGAGGTAGTTGACATCTCCTAGCCGCCGTGATGATGATGAGGGAGAGAGAGAGACACGCAAACTCCAAATATACAGCAGTAGGCGTGCAGGTTCGGGCTCGAAGCCACGACCTCCTGCATACCAGGCGAGGTAGTTGACATCTCCTAGCCATCACGGCGTGCCTGACGGAGCACCTCCGCGTCTGTCGGCGCGTGCCCTCCAGGTGATTCGCAAGGGCGAGGTGAGCTGCTGCTGGGTGTGCACCCCCTGCAAGGACAACGAGTTCGTGCTCGACGACTTCACGTGCCAGGCCTGCAGGCTGGGCTGGTGGCCCAATGCTCAGCTCGCTGGTCAGTGGCTCTCACCACCCCCCCCCATCACCCTCTTCATCCCCCTCCCCCCCGACATCGTCGTCATCATTGTCATCGTCGTCATCGTCGTCATCGTCGTCATCATCATCGTCGTCATCGTCGTCGTCATCATCATCATTGTCATCATCAACACCGCTGTCATCGTCGTCTTCATTGTCATCATCTTCATCGTCATCATCGTGGTCTTCATCGTCATCATCATCGTTGTCATCACTGTCATCGTCGTCTTCATTGTCATCATCTTCATCGTCGTCTTGATTGTCGTCATCATCATCATCATCGTCATCGTCTTCATCATGGTCGTAGCGTGCCGCGCTCACACAATCGTGCAACGTCCCCGCTTTACCAGATCGTCATCATCGTCGTCTTCATCGTCATCATCATCGTTGTCATCACTGTCATCGTCGTCTTTATTGTCGTCGTCGTCATCATCATCATCATTGTCATCATCATCATCATCACCGCTGTCATCGTCGTCTTCATTGTCATAATCTTCATCGTCATCATCGTGGTCTTCATCGTCATCATCATCGTTGTCATCACTATCATCGTCGTCTTCAATGTCGTCATCATCATCATCATTGTCATCATCATCATCACCGCTGTGATGATAATTGTCATAATCTTCATCGTCATCATCGTGGTCTTCATCGTCATCATCATCGTTGTCATCACTGTCATCGTCGTCTTCATTGTCGTTGTCGTCATCATCATCATTGTCGTCATCATCATCATCATGTTCGTCATCATCATCATCATTGTCATCATCATCACCGCTGTCATCGTCGTCTTCATTGTCATCATCTTCATCGTTATCATCGTAGTCTTCATCGTCATCATCATCGTTGTCATCACTGTCATCGTCGTCTTCATTGTTGTCGTCATCATCGTCGTCTTCATTGTCGTCATCACCATCATCATCATCGTCATCGTCTTCATCATGGTCGTAGCGTGCCGTGCTCACACGATCGTGCAACGTCCCCGCTTTACCAGATCGTCATCATCGCCCAGGCTGCTCCGCGATCAGCGCGAGCGCCTCGCATACAGAATGCCGCGAGTTCAAACCCTGATCGCGAGGTAGGGAGATCGTAGACTCAGCTTATCATCCGTCCCTGCCGGGATTAATACAACAAAGACTCAATCTAGATTTTAAGCTTTCGTGACTGCATGAATCCATACTCTGTGGTTCTTTCGGTAAAGTCACGTAGATATAAAATTTATAGATCACGACGATTTTAGCCGATTATCTGAGCTGCATTATTAGGTTGGATGTCTTTGTATTGTCGGGCTGGATGTCCTTCTCGCTCAGTCACCGATGCTGCGACATACTAAGCTCGTGCATTGGCATGCTAATCTCTCACAATACTCTTAGGTTCTTTCGGTAAAGTCACGTAGGTAGAAATATAATAAGATAAAACATATCACGACGTTTCGATCGCAACACAATCCTGATGAGGATTGCGATCCTGATGAGGATTGCTTGTGTTGCGATCGAAACGTCGTGATTTGTTTTATTTTATTTTCTACCTACCTACGTGACTTTACCGAAAGAACCAAAGAGTATGGATTCCTGCAGTTACGAAAGCTTCAAATCAAGACTCTCACAATACAATAGCCACGTCCATAGCCTCAGGCAGGCCATCTCTAGCCCCGCCGTCTTACCCTGAGGCTGCACACATCTCAGACCCTACACAAGACCTTGTTTCAGTAGCTGTCTCTCTCTCTCTATCACCTGTAGACGGTCGCTTGTGTTGCGATCGAAACGTCGTGATCTATGAATTTTCTATCTACGTGACTTTACCGAAAGAACCAAAGATTAATAAAGACTCACTTCGTGGGGCGAGTCAGCAGTGGCCACTGAATTGATACATTGAGATACAGCCACCTGCTCTCCCACCTCCCAGTCATGGGAATGTGAAATTTCCATCACTGGCTCGGGGTTGTAAATGGGGGATGCGCAGCCCACCCAATGCATCGACGATTATTTTGAGCGGGAAACCATCGCTCTGGCTGCGGCTTAACGTGATAATTGCTCTCATTTCACGTCCCAGTTATTCACCCTAATTGGCTGTTTTACGCGGCTCGGAACACGACCAGGAACACGAACCAGATCGTGACGCTTCGTGTAAATTACCGCCAAGTCATCAGGCAACCACCGTACACGGCACGAGCTGCCCACGATCTCAATTTCATTTAGGATTCATTGAGCGCCCTTTCCAGGGCTCTTTACAGCGCAAGCCGACGGCGGGGAGTGAGGGACGTGACGGATGGAGGGACAGGGGCTGGGAATGGAGCTGCTGATGTTGTTGCTGGGGTAGGAGAGGCGGAATGAGGTGGAGTTTGATGGCGAGCGAGGGTGCCTGATGGGCGCAGCGTGGACGAGACGCAGTGGGGTATGGGGCACGGGGGTGAAGTGGTGAAATTGGTCCCGGATGAGGGTAGGTGAGGGGTGGTGGTGGGCAGAGGTCTGGTGGCCGGATAGTTGAGCTGATGGAGGAGCACAGCGTAGGGCTGGGGGAGAGACGTGGTTAGGTGCCCGTGGAGGAAGCGAGATAGGAGGAAGAGGAATGGGGGACTGCGAGTGGGTTCGATGCGGGGGTTGGAATGGTGATGATGGTGTTGACAATAATAATTATGGTAAGGGCAACGATGATGACATTGTTGTCGATGATGATGATGAGAGCAACTGAGTGCTTAGGTATTCGGGGATGGCTAGGTTATGCTTGGCCCACTGATAATTATGTGATGGTAATGACCACGACAATGATGATGATCACGGTGATGATAAAGATGATAGCTGTAATGATGGTGAAGACAATGATGGCCATTGTGATGATCAGTGATAATGATGATTGCTATAATGATGAATACGATGATTGTCATGATGACCATCGCTGTGATGATAATAATTACAATTCATTTTGTAATGATGATGAAGACAATGATGGTCATGATGATCACTGTCATGATGATGACAATAATGATCACTTTGATGATGACAAAAATTGCCATAATGATGATGACAACAATTGTCGTGATAATCACTGTGATGATGGTGGAGATGATGATTGATGATAGTGATGATGAGAATGACCGCCGTGATGATTGTGATGATTGTTGGTATCGTCTGGCGCTGTAAGTGGGGGTTGTATCGTGTGTAAGGACAACGTGGCCTGCGGTCTGGCTGATTATGATGACAACGTCAACGGAAGAAAATCAAGGTCTACCTGAAATTAATAATGAGTGTCTCTGCCGCGCAAAAATATCAACACTAAAATAGCCAAGCAGACACCACGTCTCCTTACCTGTCTGCTTGTCTAATGAATGGTTCTCCGTTCAACTTGGATCCATATGTTACAGAGAGGGTAGCCCTTGTCCGTAACATCTGACAGTTCGAGCAGAGCTGATGAGTACAGCGAATGTCAAAACCCACGCCACACACGCACACACACACACAGAGTTATCGACGAGTGTGTTTTATGATTCCTTATTTAGTTGATTACAACTCAACGCGAGCCCGGTAGAAAGCATCGACCACGATTCAAGGTGGAGGGGGGAGGGGGGACAGAAAGTCCATGCATAATAGAGGTTTATTTTGGGTTAGATCGCGTAAATATATAAATGTGTCGTTAAATTATGGCTGTCGCCCGATTAAGCTGGTTGCGATTACTGGCGAAACGTCGTACTCAGATTGTAAATGCTGTGGCTTGGCTCTCCAACACACCGGTTAGTGCCGTGCCAGTGACGAATTGGCCACGTTCTGTTTACGTGACAACCATTACTAGTTGGCTGTGTCTGGTGGTGGCGGGTTTTAACGACACATTTATATATTTACGCGATTTAACAACAACAAAAAAACCCCTCTATTATGGATGATATTGGTCGCGCAAGCCGGCCACGTGTTTAAAGAAACTCCATGGACAAGAAGGACACATTCCGGTGCTTCCAGAAGTTTAAAGAAAGAGGGAGGGAGAGGGGGGGGGGGAGATTTTGGCTCTCTGTCTCACCTACCTGGAGATCGCCAGCAAGAGCGTGGAAGTTTAAAGTTTATACGAGGAGGGAAGGATTGGGGGGGGGGGCGGCGAGATAATTCCCATCCAGGGACAAAAGGGATGGGAGAGGAAGGGCGGGGGGGGAGTCGGTGGGATCCTTATTCATTATTCGTACCTGTGCACCTCTGCCAAGGCATCAAAAAGCATCGTCACCAAATGACGTTGTTAAATTACGAAGGTGTCCCAGTAAACCTGGCAACGTTGGTTCAACGTTGGCACGTGGTTGGAGCCATTGGGCGAACGTTGGGTGAACGTTGGCCCCATGCCGGCTCAAGGTTCACCTGGTGTTGGCGCGTGGTTGCAACCATTGTTTCTCACGTTGAGCCAACGTTGGCTCAACGTTCGGCACGTGTCGTTGGAACCGTTGGCCCAATGGTTTCACGTTTACTTGGCATTGCCTATGTAGATCTTGACTACGATCATCACCAACCTTACAACAATCTCCTCCATCACCATCATCATCACACCACCACTACCATCATCATCATCATCACACCACCATCATCATCGCAACACCACCATCATCATCACACCACCACCATCATCATCGCACCACCGCCATCATCATCACACCACCACCACCACCACCATCATCATCATCACACCACCATCATCACACCACCACCATCATCATCATCATCATCACACCACCACCACCATCATCGCACCACCACCACCATCATTACACCACCACCATCATCATCATCACACCACCACCATCATCATCACACCACCACCATCATTACACCACCACTGCCATCATCATCGCACCACCATCATCATCACACCACCATCATCGCACCACCACCACCACTACCACCACCACCACTACCACCATCATCATCATCATAACACCACCACCATCATCATCATCATCACACCACCACTACCACCATCATCATCATCATCACACCACCATCATCATCATCATCATCATCACACCACCACCACCATCATCATCATCACACCACCACCATCATCATGATCACACCACCACCACCATCATCATCATCACACCACCACCACCATCATCATCATCATCATCACACCACCACCACCACCATCATCATCATCATCACACCACCACCACCATCATCACACCACCACCACCATCATCATCATCATCATCACACCACTACCATCATCACACCACCACTACCATCATCACACCACCATCATCATCATCATCATCACACCACCATCATCATCATCACACCACCACCATCATCACACCACCACCACCACCATCATCATCATCACACCACCAACATCATCACACCACCACCACCATCATCACACCACCACCACCACCATCATCATCACACCACCACCATCATCACACCACCACCACCATCATCATCACACCACCACCACCACCATCATCACACCACCACCACCACCACCATCATCACACCACCACCACCACCATCATTACACCACCACCACCATCACACCACCGCGTGCGCAGGCTGCGACGCCATCCCCGTGCAGTACTTGCAGTGGAGCGACCCGGAGGCCATCGCCGCCGTGGTGTTCGCGTGCGCGGGCCTCCTGGCCACCGCCTTCGTCACCCTCATCTTCGTGGCCTTCCGCGACACGCCCGTCGTCAAGTCGTCGAGCCGCGAGCTCTGCTACATCATCCTGGCGGGCGCGGGCCTCGGCTACGCGTGCACCTTCGCCCAGGTGGCGAGGCCCACGCAGGCCGGCTGCTACTTTCGGCGCATCGCCGTGGGCCTCGCCTCGGCCATGATGTACTCGGCGCTCGTGACCAAGACGAACCGCATCGCGCGCATCCTCGCCGGGAGCAAGAAGAAGATCTGCACGAAAAAGCCACGCTTCATGACCACGTGCGCGCAGCTCGTGATCGCCTTCATGCTCATCGGCGTCGAGGTGGCCATCGTGGTGGCGCTCGTGCTCATGGAGCCGCCCGAGGTGATCCCCGACTATCCGAGTCCGCGCGAGGTGCAGCTCATCTGCCACACGTCCAACCTCGCGGTGGTGGCCCCGCTCGGGTTCAACGGGCTGCTCATCATGAGCTGCACCTACTACGCGTTCAAGGTGGGGTTCGCGTGTGCGGTGGTGATTGACGTCGTCATCCTTGTCGTCGTGATGATGATGGTGGTGATTACCACGTGGATCCTCGTTGTCATCATCATGGAGATCATCGTTGTCATCATTATCATAGGGGATGTCGTTATCATCATCATTATTATCATGATCACGCGGATCATCATTGTCATCGTCATCATTATCATGATCGTGGGGATCATCGGTATTATCATGATCATGGGGATCATCATTGTCATCGTCATTATCATGATCATCACGTGGATCATCATTATCATCATCATGTGGATCATCATTATCATCATCATGGGGATCATCGTCATCATCATCATCATGATCATTGGGATCATCGGTATTATCATGATCACGTGGATCATCATTGTCATCATCATTATCATGATCATGGGGATCATCATGATCACGTGGATCATTATTGTCACCATCATCATCATGAGCTGCAACTATTTCTCATTCAAGGTGAGGCACGCTTCGCGTGGAGGGTGGGTTGTCAGGGTCACGGTTAGGGTGTGGTCGTGATTGATGTCCTCACCGTGATGGTGACGATGACGATCATCATCATCATCATCACATGGATCATCGTGTTCATCATCATCATTATCATCGCGTACTTTCACATCATCGCGCGATTTCAGATGCTCTTCTGCGGCCATCTGGAACGCTCTTCCTTCTGACATTAGGAAGCCACTGGGGCCATCCGATTTTAAATCATCTAGAGCTGCTTTTTGTGTTAAGTCTGTTGTCCTTCCCCCGCACCTCTGATTCAACATGGATACATCACCATCATCATCATGTAGATCATCATTGTCATCAGCATGATCACATGGATCATCATCATCATATTTGTTACAATCATAACCTTTATAATGATCATCACCACAGTCATTGGCGTTATTAACATCTATATAGTTTTGATTTAAAGCTTTCGTGACTGCAGTAATTCATATTCTTAGTTTTTTCGGTAAAGTAACGTTGAAGGGAAACAACAAAATAATAAAATATATATAAAACAATAAAAAATTATCACGACGCTTCGACCATAACTCAAACGGTTGTCTTCAGGTGTGTTGGTTTGCATAAATTTATTTTTAAACGGCGCATTTATTTATTTATAAAAACGTTAGCGCCACGCGCAACGATTTGGCAGTTTATTTAGGACTAGTCCATCTATATTCTGAAAAGAGGAGGGGGGAGACGAAATTTTTTATAATGTATGCTGTCTGAAAGCCACTGTAAGCGTGAACAATCAATTAAGACCTGAAATGAAGTATCAAATCTTTCCAATGATTGCTAAGATAGAATCCATCTTCTCAGTTGAAATTGTCTCTGTGCTTGTATATGTGGATAGCCTCATGAACGAATCTCTCATGGAAGCCAGATGGCTTACAAAGAACCTCTGTCTTGGAAAAGTCAATGGCATGTGAGCCTACTGAATTAGAACAATGATCTGCCACGGCCGAGGTGTTGGTCCTACCGTGTTTAAGGTCTGCTTTGTGTTCACGAATGCGGTCCGAGACATGGCGTTTGGTTTCTCCAATGTAACTACTACCACAGAGGCAACTTAGTTTGTAGACACCAGGGTATTGTATGTCCGGAATCACATCTTTTACAGACGGAACCAGATCACGGATTTTATGTAATGTGTTGAAACGGACCTAGATCTTGTGTTAATTCAAGATTTTGGAGATCTTTTTTGTGATCCCCGCAATGTAGGGTAAAGTGATGGTTTTGAAAGGCTCCTCAAGAGGGTTCTTCTTCTGAAACCGGATTCCCACCACCATCCATCACAGAAGAATTCTCTCATTAAGACTCTGTATCATAGAGCCCAATGCATATCCGACCAGGAACACATAAGCAGTGAACTCAAGCACGTACACCAAGCTCTTAGGGCTAATGGTTACTCCGACTATACAATCCGCAAAGCTATCACTCAAACCATGAAGAAGAACCCTCTTGAGGAGCCTTTCAAAACCATCACTTTACCCTACATTGCGGGGATCACAGAAAAGATCTCCAAAATCTTGAATAAACACAAGATCCAGGTCCGTTTCAACACATTACATAAAATCCGTGATCTGGTTCCATCTGTAAAAGATGTGATTCCGGACATACAATACCCTGGTGTCTACAAACTAAGTTGCCTCTGTGGTAGTAGTTACATTGGAGAAACCAAACGCCATGTCTCGGACCGCATTCATGAACACAAAGCAGACCTTAAACACGGTAGGACCAACACCTCGGCCGTGGCAGATCATTGTTCTAATTCAGTAGGCTCACATGCCATTGACTTTTCCAAGACAGAGGTTCTTTGTAAGCCATCTGGCTTCCATGAGAGATTCGTTCATGAGGCTATCCACATATACAAGCACAGAGACAATTTCAACCGAGAAGACGGATTCTATCTTAGCAATCATTGGAAAGATTTGATAAACCATTTCAGGTCTTAATTGATTGTTCACGCTTACAGTGGCTTTCAGACAGCATACATTATAAAAAATTTCGTCTCCCCCCTCCTCTTTTCAGAATATAGATGGACTAGTCCTAAATAAACTGCCAAATCGTTGCGCGTGGCGCTAACGTTTTTATAAATAAATAAATGCGCCGTTTAAAAATAAATGTATGCAAACCAACACACCTGAAGACGACCGTTTGAGTTATGGTCGAAACGTCGTGAGAATTTTTTTTATTGTTTTATATATATTTTATTATTTTGTTGTTTCCCTTCAACGTGACTTTACCGAAAAAACTAAGAATATCTATATAGTTGTCATCATCATCATCATCCTTATTGTCCATTTCGTTGCTCACACAATCTTGTCATAACCATCATCATAACCATAATCACATCATCATCATCATCATTGCTGTCAGCCATGGTTTTATCCACTGCTGAATTAAGGCATAATGAACAACACAAAATATTCTAAAATAGATTTAAAATTTAAAACTACTTACACATTCGTCAACAACACCGCGTGGCCTTTAAAGGCAAAACAAGAAACAATTGGCGACGTTTCGGGCAATTGCCCTTCTTCATGGTGCCATAACAATTACTAAATCGGCTCGTGTGCAGTCGCTGAACAGATCGCTGCATCGCAAGCCATCGAGTGGTGTCTCGAGTTGTGTCATTCAATCGAGCAGTGGATAGATCATGCCTGTTACTGATGATGACGATGATTATATTTTTTATGGCATAACTATGCTGGCGTGCGTCGATGTTGTTGTTGGTGCTAAAGGATGGATCAGCCCGTGGTGGTGTAGGTGTGTCTGTGTGTGTGTGAGCCCCAAGCTGTATGTATCCTGAACTTCTTTCGCGCCGTACGTAGCCAACCGTGCTTCGCGGGGAGCGGTAGCGTAGTGGTTAGCGCTTCACAGCTTCTATCGAAACCCGGCAATGAAACCCGAGTTCGACTCCCGCTCATGGCCACCACCAGCACCAGTGATAGTGATTATCTGAATAGTTATTGGGCCTCCCCTAGGTCGACTCAGACTCAAATGAGTACCTGCTGCGGTGTGTAGTAGACATCGCCACTGGTGAGACAAAGGCGGCCGGGCGCGGTGCTGGCTACCCCCCCCCCCCCTCTCGTGCGCCGTGCCGGTCTTCATAGGCGCTACTCGCTAACAGCACTTGCCCCAACAGTCTGTTAAAATCTAAACGGGGGATCTTAAAATGTGTGTGTGTGTGTGAAGCTAAATCACATGAATCAACAGCGCAGATGTAGGATTGGCAGGCGGTTGTCGTGAGACTTTAAGCAAAAGGCAAATTGTAATGGATCGGTGGCGAGAGAAGGGCAGGTAATGGGATGCGAAGCCTAGCGGCACGAAGTGTGAGGGATGAGGGATGGAGTCTGTGTGTGTGTGTGGCTCTGTGTGTGTGTGTCTGTGTGTCTCTGCACGTGTGTGTGTGTGTGGCTCTGTGTGTCTCTGTGTGTCTCTGTGTATCTCTGCACGTGTGTGTGTGTGGCTCTGTGTGTGTGTGGCTCTGTGTGTCTCTGCACGTGTGTGTGTGTGGCTCTGTGTGTGTGTGGCTCTGTGTGTGTGTGGCTCTGTGTGTGTGTGTGTCTCTGTGTGTCTCTGCACGTGTGTGTGTGGCTCTGTGTGTGTGTCTCTGTGTGTCTCTGCACGTGTGTGTGGCTCTGTGTGTGTTTGTGGCTCTGTGTGTGTGTGTGTCTCTGTGTGTCTCTGCACGTGTGTGTGGCTCTGTGTGTGTATCTCTGTGTGTCTCTGCACGTGTGTGTGTGGCTCTGTGTGTGTGTGTTTCTGTGTGTCTCTGCACGTGTGTGTGTGTGGCTCTGTGTGTGTCTCTCTGTGTGTCTCTGCACGTGTATGTGTCTGTGGGTCGACGGAACCTCGTCAGCAACTCCGTGCGTGGCCGCAAAAACAAAAGAGTATATAATAAGCGACGTTTCAGGCAATGGCCCTTCCTACGAGAGGCCAGAGAGGTAGGTATATTGCCCTTTATCCCCTCACCTGCACTGACCAGCGTTGGGTGAGGTCTGTCGAGAGGAACTTGCGCAGATTACCAGCGCGACGTGCATGGGTAGGAAGGACAGGTCTTCATCTAGCAGTGGAATGGCATGACAGAAGTCAGCTGTGCGTAGTGCGCGTGCGTGAATGCGGTGGTGCAGTGCGAACCCCGGCGTCTCGAGTTCGATTCCCGCTCACGGCCAGCACCAATTGACGATTACCTGAACCGGTCCTGGGCCTCCCCTAGGTCGACTCAGCCTCAAACGAGTACCTGCTGCGGTGTGTAAACATCGCCGCTGCGGAGACACCCACCACCCCCCACGTGTTGCCGTGCCGGCCTTCATAGGTGCTCGCTAACAGCACCTTACCCCAACAGTCTGTTAAAGGCTCAGTATGGAGGATCTTTGTCTTTGTGGGCGCGCACGCACGCACGCACGTGCATACTCCGTGCCCGCTAAGTGAAATGCATTGATATTTTCGGGAGGCTGCCCAAGCCATTGATTTGGCTGGGCTGGCCCTGCTTGAGTAGCCGAGGTGTTTATTCTCCAGCAACCATGTGGGTGGGGGGGGGGGTGGGGGAAGGGGGGGGGTCTTCTGCCGTCGTGGACGATGGAGACCGCCGTAGAGGCGAGGGGGCACACGACAAGAAAACGACGACGAGAATGATAATGATAAATTATGATGTACAGGCAACGTTCGATTGCTGGATGTGTGTTGAGATTAAATGCAAAGGTGCTGGATATGAATGGGCTTTTGACTGGGATTTAACATTGCCCATAGAATAAGATTTCCCATAGGCTAATATTTCACGTAGACTAACATTGTCCATAGGCTAACAAGTTATTGAGTAAATATTATGGACAGAGCTGAATGGAAGGAAGGCGACGATTGGTGACTTCTCTGAGAAAGGACGCTGCTCGCGTAGAGAGATAGACAATTCAATATTCCTGGTCAACGCCTTATGTTGTTGTTGTTGTTCCAAAGCGAACGAACCAACAAACATTGGGCAAAGAAACACGGAGAGACACACGCTTAAGAGGCAGAAAGAGGAACACGTGGATCAGAGGACACCGTGCATGTGTGTGTTAGGTAGACGGGATCATGTATGTGTGTATGTGTAATGTCAACAAATGCAGATTTTATAGGAGGCAACTTCTTCATTAACAACTTCACGGTTTCGTCCACACCACTCTCCACAGTAGCTCAGCCCAGCCTGTACACAACACGAGCCGTCCAGCACTGACGGCGCTGACTCAGCCAACTACTCTCCTTCGTAGCGCAATATCTAGTGGAGACGTTTAGCGACATGACGGCGATGGCGAGATGACAGTGACGATGACGCCAGCGACAATGACGACGACAGCGACGATCATGACGACAGCGACGACGAGACGACAGTGACGAAGACGAAATGACAGTGACGAGGAGACGACAGCGACGATGACGACGACAGTGACGATGACGACGACAGCGACGATGACGACGACAGCAACGATGACGACGACAGCGACGATGACGACAGCGACGATGACGACGACAGCGACGATGACGACGACAGTGACGGTGACGACAGCGACGATGACGACGAGACGACAGTGACGATGACGACGACAGTGACGACGAGACGACAGCGACGATGACGACGACAATGACGATGACGACGACAATGACGATGACGATGACAGCGACGATGACGACGGCAATGACGATGACGACGACAGCGATGATCATGACGACAGCGACAACGAGACGACAGTGACGACGAGACGACAGTGACGATGACGACGACAGCGACAATGACGACGACAGCGACGATGACGATGACGACGACAGTGACGATCACGACGAGTCCACTCCCAGAACCGGCAGCCTCGAGCCCCCCGCTCTCGGCTCCTTTTATGCTCCCAGCGCTGCCTGGCTCCGCCCTGACCGCGCCTCCCTTCTAGAACCCGCTAGCAGGTTCCAGGGACCTCCAGACGGGGACCTCCTTGACCCTTACCCCTAGTGCCTCCCCTCTGCCCGCACACCGGTGTGTGTGCTGCGTTTGTCCACCACAGTTGCCGCTGCTGTCCACCAGCCGGCGCTATTACACTGCGCGTGTAAAATGATGATGCACGTGTTTATGTTGAACTTTTTTTCGAGTCGGGGATGTTTGGTACCAAGAACCCTCGCTCAGCGCCAGCTCTGGATTCGCCAGTTTCCCACAATCGCATTGTTGTTGTCTTTCCTCATTGCACGCGTGTCGTTCTCTCCGTGTAAATTTCTCATTGATTGGCTGCAAACATCTTCATTTGTAGGGGACCGCAGAGCTTGGGGAACTGTTGGTAGCGCCGGCTGCTCTCCGCGTGACTGCTGCTGTCTTCCCGCTCGTCTGTGGTTCCTCCTCCTGGCGCCTCGGAGAGAGAGGACGACTCGGAGTCGTCCTCTCTCTCCGAGTTGTCCTCTCTCTCTCTGAGTCCTCCTCTCTCTCTCTCTGAGTCCTCTCTCTCTCTCTCTGAGTCGTGTTCTCTCTCAGAGTCGTCCTCTATCTCTCTCTCTGAGTCCTCCTCTCTCTCTCTGGGCCGTCTTCTCTCTCTGAGTCGTCCTCTCTCTCCTAGTCGTCCTCTCTCTCTGAGTCGTCCTCTCTCCGAGTCGTCCTCTCTCTCTGAGTCGTCCTCTCTCTCCGAGTCGTCCTCTCTCTCTCTCTGAGTCGTCCTCTCTGAGTCGTCCTCTCTCTCTCTCTGAGTCGTCCTCTCTCTGAGTCGTCCTCTCTCTCTCTGAGTCGTCCTCTCTCTCGTTCTCTCTCTCTCCGCTCGACTGCGACGAGTGAGTACTGCGCAGAGGCGGCGGCACGCGACGTCTTTCGTTCGTCATCATTGTGACGATGACGACGACGCTCATTCCCGTTCCCCGTTCCACTCCACGTTCTGCGTTCCCGTTCTGCCCCCCGCCAACACCCCCCCCCCCCCGCCCCCCCCCTAACACCCCACCCCCGAAAAGACCCGCAACGTTCCGGAGAACTTCAACGAAGCCAAGTACATCGCCTTCACCATGTACACCACGTGCATCGTGTGGATGGCGTTCGCGCCCATCTACTTTGGCAGCAAGTACAAGGTCATCACCATGTGCTTCTGCGTGAGCCTCAGCTCCACCGTGGCCCTCGGCTGCATGTTCCTGCCCAAGGTACGGACGGACATCACCGGCTGCACCAGCTTCAAGCGGCCCGGTCGCGCGCGACGATTGGCTGATTTGGCGCTAGTCAGGTGGCCTGCGACCCGTCAGCATGATTGCGCGTGTGTGCGTGTGTCAGTCTCAGCGTGTGTGTGTCTCTCAGCGTGTGTGTGTGTCTGTCTCAGTGTGTGTGCGTGTGTCAGTCTCAGTGTGTGTGCGTGTGTCAGTCTCAGCGTGTGTGTGTGTGTGTCAGCGTGTGTGTCTGTCTCAGTGTGTGTGCGTGTGTCTCTCAGCGTGTGTGTGTGTGTCTCTCAGCGTGTGTGTCTGTCTCAGTGTTTGTGCGTGTGTCAGTCTCAGCGTGTGTGTGTGTCTCTCAGCATGTGTGTCTGTCTCAGTGTGTGTGCGTGTGTCTGTCTCAGCGTGTGTGTGTGCGTGTGTCAGTCTCAGCGTGTGTGTGTGTCTGTCTCAGCGTGTGTGTGTCTGTCTCAGCGTGTGTGTGTGTGTCTCTCAGCGTGTGTGTGTCTCTCAGCGTGTGTGCGTGCGTCAGTCTCAGCGTGTGTGTGTCTCTCAGCGTGTGTGTGTGTCAGTCTCAGCGTGTGTGTGTCTCTCAGCGTGTGTGTGTGTCAGTCTCAGCGTGTGTGTGTGTGTGTGTGTCTCAGCGTGTGTGTGTCTCTCAGCGTGTGTGTGTCTCTCAGCATGTGTGTGTGTCTGTCTTAGTGTGTGCGTGTGTGTCTCTCTCAGCGTGTGTGTGTGTGCGTGTGTCTCTAAGCGTGTGTGTGTGTGCGTGTGTCAGTCTCAGCGTGTGTGTGTATCTCTCAGCGTGTGTGTGTCTGTCTCAGCGTGTGTGTGTGCGTGTGTCTCTCAGCGTGTGTGTGCGTGTGTCAGTCTCAGCGTGTGTGTGTCTCAGCGTGTGTCTGTCTCAGTGTGTGTGTCAGTCTCAGCGTGTGTGTGTGTCTGTCTCAGCGTGTGTGTGTGTGTGTCTCAGCGTGTGTGTGTGTGTCTCAGCGTGTGTGCATGTGTCAGTCTCAGCGTGTGTGTGCACGTGGGCAGTGGTAGTGTAGCGGTTAGCGCGCTGCGCTGCGAACCTGAACCGGTACTGGGCCTCCCCTAGGGCGACTCAGCCTCAAACGAGTACCTGGTGCGGTGTGTAAACAGCGCCACTGGGGAGACAAAGGCGGCCGGGCGTGGTGCTGGCAACCCACCCCCTCGTGTGCCGTGCCGGTCTTCATAGGCGCTACTCGCTAACAGCACTTGCCCCAACAGTCTGTTAAGGCTATACGGGGGGTCTTTGTCTTTGTGGTCACGCATGTGTTTATCCAGGTGTACATCATCCTCGCTAAGCCGGAGCGCAACGTGCGGAGCGCGTTCACCACCTCCAACGTGGTGCGCATGCACGTGCGTGACGCCAAGCTCACCAGCCGCTCCTCCAGCATCCTGAGCCTCTTCAAGCGCAAGGGATCAGCGGCCGAGCCCGCCTGGTACAACACTCACACACACACACACACGTACACACACACTCACACACGCACACGTACTCACTCTCACTCACACGCGTACTCACTCTCACTCACACGCGTACTCACTCTCACTCACACGTGCTCTCACACACACACACGTACTCACACACACGCAGACACGTACTCACACTGACACACACGCGCGCGCGTACTCACATACCATCCCCGCCGCTCTCACCGCACAGCCCCAAGTCGAGCTCGTGGGGTCAGACCGGCCGCGCCGAAAAGAGCCCCGGCATCTGGCACCGCCTCTCGGCGCACGTCAAGGGCGACGAGCGACGCGCCCACGGCGCCCACGCCGCCGGCGGCCCCGGCGGCGGCCCCGGCGGCGGCTCCGGCTCCGGCGGCGGCGGCGGTGGATGCGCCGCGACCGCCGGCGGTTCGGGATCCGCCGGCGCCGGCGGGAATCAGATGGCGGTGATCAAGCCCTTCGCCAAATCGGCCGGGGAGCTGGCGGCGGCGCGGGGCTTCTCGGAGCTTAGCGCCAAGCACCTGTACGACGTCACGGAGGCCGCCGAGGTGTGTGGGTCGTGCGGCGCGCAGGCCTCGCCGGGCCCGCCGGGCACGCCGGGCACGCCGCCGCGCGTCCGAACGCGGCACGGCACGCCGCGGCACGTGGCCACGCGGCAGCCGAGGCCGCGGGGCGAACCCCAGCACCACGGGCCCCACGGCCACCACGGCGTGCCGCGGTGATGGTGGCGGGCACGCCACGCGCAACTGCCGCATCCTCCATTTGTCCACCGCCGCCACCCCCACCAACTCCACTTGGGGGGGGGGGGGGGGAACGGTTCCATCGCGAACATCGCCATCGTAACAAAGCCATGGTCAATCCACCGCTGGATGAAAGCTTCCACTGCCTCCTCCTCCTCCTCCTGCCGGCAAGCCGTCGCCGTATCGCACGGTCCTGCGAGCTGTAACGATCCACCTCGCGCCTGATTCCATCGCTCCATCTCCGCGCTCGTGGATTTTCGTCTCGGACGAACGCGTTCGATTCGTCTTGGGAGAGCGGGCGGGAGGGGGGGGGGGAGCAGCGGGCGGCGGGGTGGGGGGGAGGGGGCGGTGAAGGGCAAAGGGCAACCGACTCATACATTCCATGTGGCCACAATTCATCTCGCATACATCAACAACAACCGCAAAAGCAGCAGCACCATGGACAGCGACAGCACCACCAGCGGCAGCGGAAAACTGCACGAACTGCGTCACCGAACGGACAAAAAAAAACGATTTTCGCAACAACAACAAAAAAACCCTTAAACATTTAGTAACCCCCCCCCCCCCAAAAAAAATTAATAAACGCGAAACGAAAACACAAAAAAACCCGATAATAGGCGACGCAAAAAAATTCCGATGCAAGTTGGAGCACGGAGCCCGGTCAAAATCTAACGCCCTAACCCATCCCCCCGCGTGGCGTGCCCCCCTTCTCTGCCCGCTGTGCGTCCAGGCAGAGGACGAGTCCGGCGCGCCGCGTTTCCCCGCGCCCTGCCGCGGCTCGCCCGTCTCGCTGCTCGGCCGGTGCCGTCGCTCCATCGCCGCGGTCGCCGCGGGCGCGGCCCCCGAGCGCTCCTCGCGCCCCGGTCGGAACCCCGCATCCACCACCACCACCACCACCTCCACCTCCTCCACCGCCGTCACCGTCGTCGCCGCGGCCGCCGGGCCGAGCCGCCCGGGTCGCGATCAACGACGTGGAGGAGGTGGAGGAGGTGGAGGTGCTGGTGGTTGCCGCAGCCGGAACAACAACAACAACGATGGCGATGATGACGATCGTGATTACTGCTCGCGGGGCACGTGCGTCGTTGACGACGGCGATGATCGCGGCGACGACGACGACTACGACGAGGAGGACGACGACGAAGACGAGGATGAAGACGACGACGACGACGACGGGGAGGAGGGCACGGGGCTGTACGTGTGCGAGCGGCCGCGCAAAAGCAGCTCGTCGCAGGGCTCCCTCACCGAGCAGATCAACAGCGTCGTCAGCCGCTTCGCCTCCAACATCCACGAGCTGAACGCGCTCCTCTCGTCGCCGGGCGCCTTCGCTCGCCGCCCGTCCTCGGGCGCGCCGGACGACCCCCCCGCCGTGCTGTCGGCCCGCGACCTCGCGCTGATGGCGGCGGCCGCGGGAGGCCCCTGCGTGCCGCTGCCCGCGCCGCGTGACCTCTCCCCGGCGCCGGGCACGGCGGAGATGTCGGCCCCGCGCGCCGCCTCCCCTCGCGGCGCGCCGCCTCCCTGCTGCCTCGGCAAGCGCTCGCTGGCCGCGTCCGACGATTCGGTGCTTCCCCGGCCGCAGCAGCTGCAGCAGCAGCAGCAGCAGCTTGGTGGTTGTGGCGCGCCCGCTGCGGCGGGCCAGTCCCTGCCGCTGCTGGAGGAGGCGGTGCCGCGCTCCGGGCGACTGCGGTCGCTGGCGCTCGCGGATGAGGAGCCGTCCTCGCCGTGTCTCCTGCCCGGCGCCCTGCATCGACAGTACGGCTCGCAGGCCTACGGCTCGCCACTGCCGCACCACCAGCTGCAACAGCAGCAACAGCAGCATCAGCAGAAGCTTCAGCAGCAGCAGCAGCTGAAGCAGCAGCAGCATCAACAGCAGCTGCACTGTGGTGGTGGTGGTGGTGTTGGTGGCGGTGGTCGACCACTGTGGTTGATGGACAGTCTTCCACTCACGGCCACTGCTTCGACCATGATGATGCATCATCCGCAGCCGCAGCAGCAGCAGCAGCAGCACCATCAGCAACAGCAGCAGATGGAGATCATTGAAATGGGCGCCCGCAACAAGAGGCAGCAGCAGCATCATCCTCAGCAACAACAACAGCAGCTGATGATGATGCATCAACAACAGCAGCACTTCTCTCCGCGCTGCCGCTACGCAGAGCCGACGTGCCCCGTGCCCCCGTGCTGCGTGGCGGCCGGGGTCATGGGCGAGGTGATCGAGGTGGACGTGGAGAGACACCGCAGGGAGAGGAGGCAGAGTCGGGAGAGCAGGGGCAGCATGGGCAGCATGGGCAGCAGGGAAGGGGCAGCGGCGGCGGGGGCGGCCGGAGCGGGCGGCTTCTACGACGAGCGCTCCTTCACCATCACCCCGCCGTCGCCGTTCCGGGATTCGAACTGCTCCGGCGGGAGTTCGGGCTCCGTGTCGTCCACCTCGGAGTGCCTCTCGTACTTCCCAGCGCCGCCCAGCTACGCCGCGCTGCTGCTCAAGGATTACACGCAGAGCTCCTCCTCGCTCTGAGTCCCCCCCCGCCGCCACCACCACCACCGACGACGACGACGAGGGCGGCGATGATGACGATGACGCTGAGTTCCGCTCCCGCGCGAGACCGCCTCTGCGCGCGCGAGTCCGTCGCGTCGCCCGGCACGCGGTGGAGGGGGGGGGGGGGGTCCGTGGTTGTGGTGCGGTTGGCGTGCGGACCCCCGGTGCAAGGTGGGGGGGGGGGAGGGGCGGTAGGGTTGGTGGGGGTGAGTAAGATGGAGGCTCGCTATCTCTGTCTCTCTCGCTCGCTCACTCTCTCACTCTCTCTCACTCTTGTTCGCTCTCTTTTCCTCGGTACAAGTCCGCACCCCGCTCTCCCCACGCGGACCTCTCACCAACTTCATCTTCGCACTTCGCATTCCGTCGCTCATCCCCCCCCCCTCCCCACCAGCACCACCCCCCCCCCCCCCCCACCTCGTAGTCGCGGTGCCCTTCGCACGGCCAGCGCACTCCGCGGCTGCTGCGCCACCGCTGCTGCCCGCGGGGGCGGGGCGAGGGAAAGGGGGTGGAGTTGAGGTGACGCGGGGTGCGCGGGCGACGCCACCCAGCGAGGACGGCAGCTCCACGGCGGAGTCGCTCTCGTGGGGGCGGCTTGCGGCCGAGCGATCGCCGCCTTACGGCTAAGCCCGGCTTGCCGATGCAACGGCGCGAACGACGCTCAAGGCGCGCAGGCTCAGTCGAGCCGGCTGCTGTCGGTTTAGAACAAAGGCCCACGAGGCGTTTGTCATTGACAAACGCCGCGTGGGCCTCGAAGGCGAAATGGTAACGCCCGAGGTGACGTTTCGGGCGACGAGCCATCCTCGCAGCGCACGGGGGTCGTTAAAAAGGGCGAATCGCCCGGAACGTTGCACGCGTGTATGTTGGACTTCTTTCGCGCCGTACGTGGTAGCCAACCGCGCTAATCGGAGGTGCGGGCGGAAGAAGAAGAAGAAGCGGAACGCACGAAAAGCACTTCGAATGAAATACGTTTTCAAAAACGTTGCCCGTTCATTTATTTATTTATTCGTAAGGCAACACGCGCACGCGCGGTGTACGTGATGAATGTGTTGTTGTGGTTGTTGTTGCTGTTGTTGGCTTTGCTTGCGCACCACTGCCAACGCGGCAGCGGCTGCATGGCCAAGTAATGAATCTCACACTCAGACTATATTAGTGGTGCTGGTGGCGGAGGTGATTTCGTTTTTTTTTGTAAAGCGGACTTCTCAAAGAGACGGAAGCCGATGGAGTTGGGGATGGGGGTGTTTCATGAGAAGGGAAGAGAGACGTCTACAAAGAAGTGAATTATGTTGATTTGAAGACGCGTGCGTTGATGGTCACGATGGTAATGCTGCGTTTCGTTATCAGCAGCGCACGGACGATCCCATCACGGGTTCACACACACACGGTGGGGGGGGGGGGTCGACAGTACTGCTCCCGGCTGCCTTTATCTCCCCAGTGACGATGCTTAGACACCGCACCAGGTACTCATTTCAAACCGAGTCGACCTAGTGGAGCCCCAGGACCGGTTCATGTAATCGTCACTTGGCGTTGGCCGTGAGCAAGAATCCAACTCGGATCTCCGGGTCCGTAGGGCAGCGCTCTAACCCAACACGCCACTGCTCCACACACACGCACGCACTCACGCACGTGCACACAACAGGTACACAATGACAAAGACCCCCCGTATAGCCTGCAACAGACTGATTTGGGCAAGTGACCAACTCAGAGCCGGCACCACGTGTTCAGCTGCCACCACGTGTTCAGCTGCCCAGTGCAGTCACCAATTCAACAACAACAACACCAACAACAACAAACATTGTGGGCACCGTCGCATTGAGAAACAGCTACAACGGTTGTGGCACCCCGGGAGGGAATGAGGGAGGTCAGGGAGAGGAGGAGGTGGTTCGGGAGAGGAGGAGGTAAGGACGATGAGGTGGTGGAGTTGCTGGGGGTTGTTAGGAGGTGAACGATGTGGAGGTTAAGAAGAGGAGGTCAAGGAGGAGAAGGTGGAGGTTAGGAGGAGGTGGAGTAGGTGGTCGAGGTTCGGACGAGGAGTTGGAGGATGTTAGGAAGAGGAGGTGATGGAGGAGGTGGAGGTTTGGAAGAGGAGCTGGAGGTGGTGTTAGGAGGAGGTTTGATGGCAAGAGACAGATTGAGTTGACAGCTGGCGCCACAGTCGTATAAATATATTATTGCTTTAACCTTCCGTCGTTGACGAAAGTCTCTATCCACTTCTCTATTAGTCTTCATATATAATTTTTCTCCTTCTTCTTCCCCTCGGTAGACCTTGTCGGAGAACAGTGCTCGCGGTCGTCATCGTCGTCGTGGTGGTGATCAGTGCGGGACTCGGAGTGCGACTCAACATGAGTGGGTGGTGTGCAGTCGTAGCGGTTGTCGTAGTGCTAGTCGTAGTCGCAGCAGCAGCAGCCCTTAGCGGCGTCGTGCGGATGGTTAGTGGTGCATGCGCTATCGTGTCCCGTTGTGACCGCGTGCCTCTCTCTTCTGACGCTCTCACACCTGCAGCGGCCGGGCTCACTCCGTCCCGTGAGTCGGAGCCCCCCCGGGGGCCACCGTCGTGCAGTGTTTGTCGCAGTTGTGCTGTACCGTTCTATGGCTCTCGGTGCGGGGGTGCGCGCGCGCCGCGCATGGCCGGCGCTTTGGGCTCTTGAGGACGCTTCCGGCGCGTGACGCGTCAACGTCGGAACACTGGGCCGAGGACTCGGGTCACGTTGTGTTCAACAGCCAGGTTACAACAGCACACTCACTCACCTACACACTCACTCATTCACTCGGCCACATATCCACTCACTTATCTACTCACCCACTCACACACTCACCCACCCACGCACTCATCTACGCACTCATGCATCCACTCACACACTCATCCACTCACTCATCTACTCACCCGCTGACTCGCCCGCTCACCCACTCATCCACTTACTCACACACTAACTCATCCATCGACTCACTCACCCATTCACACACTCAATCACCCACCCACTCACCACACTGCAGGTCACCTCATGTCTCTCTCTCTCTGCTTCTTTTCTCGCACTACTTGACTTTGGAATTCCCTCCTCCCATCATCATCACCATCATCACTATCATCGTCTCTTTCGCCCCAAACCTCTTACAGTAAATAGCCTCGCTTAATGCACACAGAGCATGACGAACTCTTTATCACAATATTCAAGAGTGCTGTTTATTCCTGGCCGTGTGGCGTTTTGAGTCTTTGGGCCTGTGCTCCCCAGCCGTGAAATGACATTTATTTTTTTCCCAGAATTGATCCCCCCCAAAAAATCTCCCAGCACTCGGGAGCGAAACGTCGGACACCATGCCGAACAACACGCCCGTACTGCTATGGTTGCCACCTCTGATGTTCTAAAAACCGGGACACGTGAGGAGGGAGCCGAGGAGGAATATTCCGCACGACGGAAGAGGGGGGAAACCACCGCCTGAGTGCACCGTATTTGAGTGGTGGCATTTATATCTATTACCATGTGATTGCGCAAATGACACAAAAAAAACCACTGGACTTGAAAGATATCCCAGGGGACTACTGGCAGATGTCCCAGGACAGCAGCTGCCTTCTTAACAACAACAACGAGGATGGATGATCCTGAGAAAAACCGGGACAGGTGGCAACCCTAGACGAATCGCTACATCCACAGCGGAGAGCTTCAGCACGTTGGCCGGTCCGCGATGCGACGCACGCAACACCACGATGACAAATCACGCGGCAACGCTTGGTAAACATTTGAATTATTATTATTGTTATTAGTAGTAGTATTACAGTGAGGGAAAAAAGTATTTGATCCCCTGCTGATTTTGTACGTTTGCCCTCTGACAAAGAAATGATCAGTTTATTATTTTAATGGTAGGTTCATTTGAACAGTGAGAGACAGAATAATAACAACAACAAAATCCAGAAAAACGCATGTTAAAAATGTTATAAATTGATTTGCATTTTAATGAGGGAAATAAGTATTTGACCCCTCTGCAAAACATGACTTAATACTTGGTGGCAAAACCCTTGTTGGCAATCACAGAGGTCAGACGTTTTTTGTAGTTGGCCACCAGGTTTGCTCACATCTCAGGAGGGATTTTGTCCCACTCCTCTTTGCATATCTTCCCCAAGTCATTAAGGTTTCGAGGCTGACGTTTGGCAACTCGAACCTTCAGCTCCCTCCACAGATTTTCTATGGGATTAAGGTCTGGAGACTGGCTAGGCCACTCCAGGACCTTAATGTGCTTCTTCGTGAGCCACTCCTTTGTTGCCTTGGCTGTGTGTTTTGGGTCATTGTCATGCTGGAATACCCATCTACGACCCATTTTCAATGCCCTGGCTAAGGGAAGGAGGTTATCACCCAAGATTTGACGGTACATGGCCCCGTCCATCGTCCCTTTGATGCGGTGAAGTTGTCCTGTCCCCTTAGCAGAAAAACACCCCCAAAGCATAATGTTTCCACCTCCATGTTTGACGGTGGGGACGGTGTTCTTGGGGTCATAGGCAGCATTCCTCCTCCTCCAAACACGGCGAGTTGAGTTGATGCCAAAGAGCTCCATTTTGGTCTCATCTGACCACAACACTTTCACCCAGTTGTCCTCTGAATCATTCAGATTTTCATTGGAAAACTTCAGACGGGCATGTATATGTGTTTTCTTGAGCAGGGGGACCTTGTGGGCGCTGCAGGATTTCAGTCCTTCACGGCGTAGTGTGTTACCATTTGTTTTCTTGGTGACTATGGTCCCAGCTGCCTTGAGATCATTGACACGATCCTCCCGTGTAGTTCTGGGCTGATTCTTCACCGTTCTCATGATCATTGCAACTCCACGAGGTGAGATCTTGCATGGAGCCCCTGGCCGAGGGAGATTGACAGTTCTTTTCTGTTTCTTCCATTTGCGAATAATCGCACCAACTGTTGTCACCTTCTCACCAAGCTGCTTGGCAATGGTCGTGTAGCCCATTCCAGCCTTGTGTAGGTCTATAATCTTGTCCCTGACATCCTTGGAGAGCTCTTTGGTCTTGGCCATGGTGGAGAGTTTGGAATCTGATTGATTGATGGCTTCTGTGGACAGGTGCCTTTTATACAGGTAACAAGCTGAGATTAGGAGCCAGAAATCTTTCTGTTTGAGAGGGGGTCAAATACTTATTTCCCTCATTAAAAGGCAAATCAATTTATAACATTTTTGACAAGCGTTTTTCTGGATTTTGTTGTTGTTATTCTGTCTCTCACTGTTCAAATAAACCTACCATTAAAATTATAGACTGATCATTTCTTTATCAGTGGGCAAACGTACAAAATCAGCAGGGGATCAAATACTTTTTTCCCTCACTGTATTAGTATTATTAGTATTATTATTAGTAGTAGTATTATTATTAGGATTATTATTCAATCGTCTTGTTGAAGCAACGGACGGACGTGTTGGCAAAAGGTTGCTCGCGTGTAAGGCGGACTTCCACTCGCGGGTGAGCAGCTGCGCAAAACTCGGTCGCGTGCAACTGTTCAACCCGGTCGCGTGCAACTGTGCAGGATGCTCTACGTGGACGTCTCTTGCAACCCGATTGCGAGCAGTTCTGCAACTCATTCGCGTGCAGCTGAGCAGGATCAATATAGGTGGACGTCTCTTGCAATCCGGTTGCGAGCAGTTGCGCAACTCGGTCGCGTGCAACTGAATAGTATATTATACGTGAACGTCTCCTGCAACCGGTTGTGAGCAGTTGCGCAACTCGGTCGCGTGCAACTGAATAGTATATTATACGTGAACGTCTCCTGCAATCCGGTTGCGAGCAGTTGCGCAACTCGGTTGCTGCTTGCCGCAGAGAGGCAGACTCCCTCGGCTCGCTTTGTCGCGACGCGTTTCAACACCACGTACGTAGCAACGTTCAAGCGGCGTTAGCGATTGGTTGCTACGGTCGCCCAGTTATTTTTGTTGTTGTATAAATACGATGCTTAGCAGCGACGTCAGTGTCACGCAACCTCTCGGCTCAATGATGCGGTGGACAACGCAGTGGCAGCCGGGGCGCTGATTGGAAGTTGCGCGATGATTGAGCGCGGAGGAGCGGTCTGATCGGACGTGACTCCTCGCTCAGATGTGGTCTCGGCTATCGCGTTAATGTTGTTGTTATAATAATAATAAGTGCTGGCTTGCTTGAAACAAAACAAACAAAACCTACTTTTCTCACGTCCGCGTTGTGAGTTTATATCTGGTACATAAGGCGTCGTAGCGGCTTGTGATGTTTTTGAACGGTCGAGCGATGAGGGCTATTGTGTTGTCACGCGCGTGTCAGCGCGTGACGTGCGCGCGTGTGCACGTGTTGCATCCACGCGGGCTTCGATTTTACTCCGACGTTGATGTCCGATTATCGAGCAAAACTTCATATAGACAACTAAAAATATATGTATATTTAAACACAATTTGCGTCCATAACATAGGGGTTTCTTTTTGGGGGGGTGGGGGGGGGTTAGATCACGTAAATATAAATGTGTCGTTAAATCTGACACCACCCGACACAGACAATTAGTAAGGGTTGTCACGTAAACAGAACGTGACCAATTCGTTACTAGTACAGCACTAACCGGCTGTGTGTTGGAGAGCAAATCCACAACATTTCCAATCTGAGTACGACGTTTCGCCAGGAATTACAACTAGGTTCATCAGGCGGGCGGCGGCCAGATTTGTGGAGAAATCCTCCTGTTCGAGGGGTGGATGTAATGCCGTGAGAATTGTGAGCCCTTCGGCTGTGATCTAACCCAAACTAAACCCATGTTATGGTTGATGTTGGTGGCGAACGTCATTTGCACAGTTTACTTGACGAAATAGATACGCAGACATTCGTGAGCATTGATTCGTAAACTTGTCCACGTAACGGCGACAAAAAAAGAAAACGCCGCGGTATTTTGGATTTACGCAACTCGTCAGCACCACGTGACCTTTCTGGGGGATTTCAGCAGCCATTGAGGCAGCAGACAAACAAACAAACAAAAAACCACAAGCCACCGTGAACCTGGTCCCACACTCCGGGGTGTCTCATCAGCAGGCCCAGCGCCTCACTCGAAACGACGCCTCTGCTGCTCCGGCCACCAGATGATGCAACGGGGTCGACGGAGTCGCCCCGCTATCCCACGCGGTCTGGCCTAGAGCGGTTGATGAGTGGCCACGCTCATAGTGGGGCAGCTGTTAGCAAAAGCGCGTCTGTGCTTGTGCGCACGTTGAACTTCTTCCGCAAGCCGCCGTGGTCAGTCGCCTACCGTGCTGATTCGGCGGTGGGGGGAGGGTGGGGAAAGACAACACCGCACGCACGCTGCGATCGTCAACCGGCGGTGCGCCGGGTAATGCGGCCGCCGGCCGTGCAAATGCGACGTCAGCAAGTCCGCAGAATGCGATCGGCCTGGAGAGAAGGCTCGCCATGCTACTGTGTTGTGCGTCATATGCAGGGTGCTTCGCATCTTTTGAAAAACACTCATATGGGACTGTCGTTTTTAATGGGCAAAAGAACGGGTGATACACTGTAACATGATAAAAGATGTAATGTTAATAGCTTCAAAAAAAAAGTCAAAGATTCTCCCCCACTTGTTCGCCATCGTCGTCAACGCGTGGCCTGGAATATTCTCCAGGTGGTCTCCAGAGCCCGGAGGCGGCAGCACATTAATTGGTGTTTTGTTGCTTCGGAGAATGAAACATTCTCTGGAGTGTTAACATATTTTTGTAGCACCCTGTATATCGAGCTATGCGTCCAACTAGGACCCATATCTGAGAGAAAGGGTCACTGCACATATTATAAGCATCTGGCGATGCTCCAGGACTGATTCAAGCAAGACTGACTCCGCTGCTGACGAGTCTCTGCTTAACAACAAAAAAAAACAGTCC